TTGGAGATACTGGGACTCACTTGATAGAGAGAGGCTTTTAGTCCAAGCAAAGGTTTTTATTAGGAAGAGAAAAAGTTTGACATGGCCCAGGACCACTTCCACACAAGGGTGACCATATGAGGAAAACGGTCCCTCGGGGTGTACATCGCTGGGCTTTTACACATCTTACATGCCAGGGGCGGGGGAGAAAGGGAGGTAAGATGGCAGCTCCTTGCTCTACCCATGCACGTGAGGTGTAACATACATCACTCATCATGGGTTTCATGACCTTTTGCACAGTGACAAGGTCAGAGTGATCCTGCATTCCAGACACTCCTGACTGGGAGCTATGGTCTGACTGAGCAGGCTGGTGGTGTCACTTCTGCTCTGCCAAGCCTAATGACATCATGAGAGCGGAGGTGTTCCAGTGAATGGGCTCATGGAATCACTGGAAAGAAGCTCATTGGATCAGTAGAACTTGCTTCATCCAAATCTTCACTCAGAGGATAAAGAAGAGAACCTTATACGTGTCACATCGAGTTCAGTCACTGAGTTTAAAACTTGGGTCGTGCCACCTTTCCTAGCACAGGTCTTAAATGTGACGAGAGTTTATGGATTCTCCTTGTCCTGGTTTTCTATTGCTAATATCAACCAGTCATTCTTACTCTTAGCTCTTAATATTATAGTTTTAGTATCTTTCTTCCATAATCTACATGAAGAATTATAATCTTGTGGGATCAAAGTCCATTGGCCTATCAAAATACTTATGCAGAGCTTTAACTCTGTTCCATTCTTTTACTATGACAAATTTTAATGGATGGTGCCGACAAACAGCACCCCACACTTGTAGGAGGCATTGTTGTAGAACCTGCAAACTGGGTCCACTAACCCTATCCACAGGAAGCCGATCGCAGACATCAGGGTGGTGGAAGAAAGTAGGCATTTATGGGCACGGCACGATAGTGTAGTGGTTTGCTGGTTTGCTCACCAGATAGCATTCAGCAGACCCTGAATAGCACAGAATCGCCGAGACAGACAACAAAACACATGGCCTGAATTCAGAGATAAATACACTTGTAAGAAAAAAAAAAAGTAAGAATGTGCTTTTTGAATTCATGCTAACCTTTGTGTGTTCTATTACTCGTGAAACTCAGGTCCAAGGTTCAGGGAAAAAGGCATCAATTCAAAAGCTCAAAAGGAATCGGGAGGAAAAATCATTACTGGCAGAGCCCTGAGGGTTCTTTCATCAGCTTATTGTGGAATAAAAAGCCAGGAGTCAAGTTGGGGCAGAGGAGACATTTTATTTAAGAAGTGAAAGCACCTCCTAAGAGGGAACTGAGAGGAGGGGTGCCTCCTGAAAGCAGAGAAAGACACACCTGTTTCAGAAAGTGTTAAGGATCCTTTGACCTCTGGTTGTGTCACTCAGCTGTGCAGGGGTCACTCTGTTGGATGCCCACCTGGGTGGGCCCATGGAAGTGCTTCCCCACCGAGGGCCCCTGCACTCACGTGGGAGACCCAGAAGGAACTGCTAGCTCCTGGCTGCAGAGGGCTCATTTGGAGAGTGAATCAGAGGATGGAAGATCTCTATGTCTTTCTCTCTCTGTAACTATGACTTTCCAAGTGAAATAAATGAATCTTAAAAAAAAAAAAAAGATAAATAAACAGGGCCCAGTACAGTGGTCTAGTGGCTGAAGTCTTCACCTTGCACTTGCTGACATCCAATATGGGCACTGGTTCGTGACACAGCAGTCCAGCTTCCCACCCAGCTCCCTGCTTGTGGCCTGGGAAAGCAGTCGAGGATGGCCCAAGGCCTTGAGACCCTGCACCCACATGGGAGATTGGAGGAAGCTCCTGGCTCCTGGCTTTGGATCGGTGTAGCTCAGACCATTACAGCCACTTGGGGAGTGAATCATTGGACGAAAGATCCTCCTCTCTGTCTCTCCTCTTCTCTGCATATCTGCCTTTCCTAAAAATAAATAAATGTTAAAAAAATAAATAGATTTACCCTCTGAATTTGTAGACACTTAGAGATTTACATCTATGATGTAGGAAACAGCATATCGAAGAAACTTAAGGCAATTATTAACACAAAGATAAATGGAGGATCAAAAAGGAAGGTCATCAGGACACTTACAATGAACTAATCAAAATTAGGTAAACACTGTATATTGATCTGCCTCCAAATTTGGATAAAACTATGCTGGGAGAATGAGGACAAAAGGAAATATTCTGGTGGGCTAAGAGTGCTGGTTATAGGACTTAGTCAATTGTCTTCAATAGTAGGAGGTTAGTAGACAATACATATAAAACCAGAAATTAATGCCAATATAAAAATAGTTCATGTGTAGATATGTAAATATGCACAATAGTAAGTAAAAATTAACCCCTTACTTCTGGAGAAAGGAGACTGATAACACTAACCACATCCCTCTGTGTAAAATCAATGAACATGTCTAGTTCTTGGTATCTTGTTTTTCTGAATTATTCAGTGAGGAGTCTATGCTCAGCCAAACATGTTGAGCAATTTGTATCTACTAGGTAGTGATCAGTCATCACAGAGCTATGGGTTGAAGGCTGAAACGTGACCGTCCCTCCCCATTGCATAACCCTGCGCCAGCCCTGCCACCAAGGATTTGAATGTTGGCACTTAACCCCCCAACTTTGAGATGTTACAAGGGTGAAACTTGTATGATATTAGGAGGTTTGGAACTGGTTACAATCTGGCAAATTCAGCAAGGTGGAGCCTTTTGAAGAAAAGAGAGATAGACCCAAAAGAATGTTCTCATTTACTCCCCATCTCGTGCCACAGTGTGACCTGGGCTGCACTACCAGCAAACCATTCTCATCTGTTGACTTCTGGGCTTAGACCAGAATGGCGAGCTAAAACAAATCTCTTTGTTACAGCTGCTCCAGTCTGTGCTATTGCAATATTGGTGATAGAAAACAGACTAACACATAAAAGTTGGGACTGAGTCTTGATGATGTCACCAGTAACAAGCATCTGAAAATGTGGAAATGGCTTTGGAACTGGGATATGGGTATGGGTTATGGGAATTTGGAGAAGGAAGTCAGAAAAAGCCAATTATGCTGTAAAAAGAGCATCGTGGAAGATTCTGGGAAGGGCTCAGAAGATGAGACGAGGGAAAGCCTACAGAGGGTCAAAATTAAGAACTATGAGCTAGTTTACTTGGCAACAGAAGTCTCAAAACAACAAACTATCAATACCATTACCACCGTTGCATTTGGAAACAGGTAACATGTTTTCTCATTCGCTAGGGGCTCTGAGCTGAAAGAATTTGCCTTGAATCTCAGTGGCACATTCACTAATTTGGGACTTTAATGAATTCCTATAACTCATGAAATTCTGAGTCCTTAATTTCTGAATGCTTAATTTTTATGTGTTCCGCAGTTTCCAGTATGGAAGTCCTAACCTCCAACGTGATGACATTAGGAGGTGCGCTTTCTGTCATAAGGGCGGGCACCCTTGTGAATGGAATTAGTGTCCATCAAACAAGAGACACAAGAGCTTGCTTCCTGCTCCCCTTGGCCATGTGGGGACGCAATGAGAAAGCTGCCGTCTCTAAAGGAAGATCTCACGAGAATCTTGGATACCTGGTCTTCAACATCCCAATCTCTAGATCTGTGAGAAATAAATTTCGGTTCTAACAGCTGACTGAGACAAACTTGCAGATAGACTGGGACCCCTGAATGACCTATTATTGTTCTCTACTCCTTTTCTATTCCAAGTTATAAACTCTAATTTTTTTTTTTTACTTACCATGATCTCCCTACTCCTATGGATTTTCTTCTTTCTAATTTTGGAGTTTTTGCTGTCCTTGAACACGCCTTCCATTTTTGTGTCTCTTGTTCATTCATAATCTCCAGTTAGATGTGCCTGACCAGGCTCACTGTTCTTCCTGTGAACTCCTCTTGAATTTATTCTCAGAGAACCAGCTATCTTGGGTTAGAATATCCTCACTTTCCTGTGACCCCCCAAGAGTCTAGAAACTCCTTGAGAGCAAAGACTGAGTTCACTGCCTTTATCTGCAGCACATAGAATGTTGTTAGACTCATAGCAGTTTTTTTTTTTCCAAGAAAATACTGAATGAGTCAAAATCAATCAGTACTATGGTTGACATGTGCTTTGTCTCTTGTGAGAATTTTTTATTGTAGGCTTGGTCCTCAGTGTGACTGTGTTGAATTGATGGAAACTTCTAGAGGTGGTTGTACAGCAAGAGACAAGTAGGACGCATAGGGGTGCTGCCCCCAAAAGGGATTAAGATGGTTCTTGTGAGACTTCAGTTAGTTTCCTCAAGATTGGGTTGTTACAAAAGGAACAAGATGTGTCCCTCTCTGTACACTGATTCTGGTCTTGCCGCCATAATGTCACCAGCCATATTATGATTTTGTCAGGAAGCACTCCTTGAAGCCAGCAGATTCTGGCACCATGCTCTTGGTTCTCCAAAGTATGTGTTAAATAATCCCTTTTCATTTAGAAGTTATACAGCCTCAGGCATCTTGTCACTGAAATAGAAAATGGACTGATAAGACCACTCCATCTAAGGTATATATTGTTTTGGTTTTACAAATGAGGAATCTAAGGTTCAGGGGATTTTTGTCATAGTTGAAGGCCAGGTTCTTCGCCTTAAGGTAAGTGCCTCTTTGCATGCACAAGGTGATGTGTTAGTTGTTACTATGCATTCTCTGTGAATTTCCATTGATGAAATGTTTAGGTGGTGTGTAAAATGCTCAGACATACATGTCCAGGAGGAAAAAGAGGATATGGAAATGCACGAGACTGAGAAAAGGGGCTTTTCATAAGGCTTCTTAGATGCTATTAAATTTGTGTATATAAAAGTCTTGGATCAGAGTTTGGCACAGAAATTACCACTATTATTTTCCTATGAAAGACTGCAGAAGGCAGTCACTACTTTATCAGCAATTTTCACAATAGAAATTCACACCCATACTAGAGACAGAAAATCAGTTAGCACTTTCCGACACACACAAAAAAGGAACTAATTTCACTTCTCAGCACAGCAGTTGGAATGTGAAAACCCTACTAGCAGAAGCATGCAGATTTAGAAGGAGAAAATTGTGGAGTCAGGGGAGCTGATTGTATATGGACAAAAAGCCTGGAACGCTTTCCTAGATCTAGGAACTCATCAGACACACAGTGGACATTGAACTCATCAGACACACAGTGGACATTGCAGGCTGGAGGAAAGGTAGGTCCAGCAACTTGGCTTCCTGGACTTTGGGACTGCCGGCTTTTTATTTCCTAGTTCTGGAACCTGTGGGAGTGGAATGAGAAAAGGAAAAGCCACTTCCTCTGGGGCAAGCTAGTATTCTGGCTGTGGCGGTTTGAGCTTCATTTTATGTGTCTGGAAGTGCTGACAAGCTCGAGGGCAGGCAGAGGCTCCGAAGGTCCATGGCTGAGCATAACGTTACTTAATGACCTCTGCATAACAGATCCCAGGGGCAAAAATCAAATGCAGAAAGCAGTACTTCAAACTTTTGACTACTTGATACTCTTGAGACCCCCTTTATTCTGGTGTCTTTCATCTCTGTCTCCAATATACTATTTTTTTAAATTCAACATTCAAGGCAGGATTTGCCACATGAAATATTTGATGCAGATGGTGTAGAGTAAAGACCTCCAGGTCTAATACAGTGAGACTGGTTTCAAGGTAGACTGAGGCCTGACCTAGTCCTGCAACAATCTTAAGCCTACATAGCAAACCCAAACCGTAAACTGAAGCTGCTCATGGGGAAGCATACATATGAAAAACACCTAAAGAAGCTTCTTGGGATCAGAAAGAACCTTGGAAGTAGTTGTTCCCTACTGGGTGTCTATTCTGATTTATTAAGTTTCCCAAGAAGGAGGTACTGGCCTCTTGGATCACTCTGTTTTCAGTCCTTGGTGACTAACCCATGAAGGTTAAGAGGGAGACAGAAGACAATGATGCTGATTCATAGGAAGGTTGGAGCCCAGTAGGCAGAGGGAGACTCTTGCAAAACTCTTAGGACATCTGGGGACTTGAAGTGCAGATTCACTCACTGAGGTGTGATTAGATGAAGATTCTGCACAAAGATGGAATCTGACACTCTAAGGCAACCCAGGAGCTTGGGCTCATAAGTGAGGGAGGCAGCCGTGACTTCTTGACCATGCTGGGGGTAGTGAGAAATAAGGTATGGGGGAGAGGTGCCTAGCATCAGTAAGACTGGGGGAAAAGTGGTCTTCTGGAGGTTTAGACTTTGGGGAACAGTTATCAGCTATAATCTGGGTCCTAAAAGTAACAGGCTATGATGGTACCTGGGCTCTGTGGAATGGGATACCACACACTGTTGAGCCTGACACGGTGGGGCATTCCTGTATTCCAGGCTCTTTGAGGCCAGACACGATAGCAGCATGTCTCCAGGAATTTCAGGCTCATGCTGTTGTCTGGGCCAGGGGGCATGGTGCAGTGTAGCAGTGAGTCCACTGGCTGAAAAAGTCACTGCAAGATGATGGCTATATCCAAGATAATTAGCCATGTAAAGCTGGTTTGCCTTCGGATTGCCATCAGTTCTATGATGTATACTCAATAATGTAGTTCCCATCAATTAAAGACAAACATGAGATCAAATACTCTCCAGAGAAATATGAATTTTTCCCCTTGGCGTACATTTTGAGCAGAGAAAATGGGACAAAAGTATTGGTTTTTATTAAAGTCTCAGAAAAAAATATTTTATGTATTTTTGGTGTGCTTTGGAAAGTTTAGATTTAAAGTTCTTTAACAGGATAGGAGATATAAATTTGGGATGCTATGTTGAAAAATCACTAATACCTCTTTGTAGTACAGAACATAAAAGTAAGTAAGTTGTATTCAGTGAAGTTGAAAACAGGAGTTTGTTGCTCTGAGAAAGTGCCCTGATTAAGAAGGGGAAACTACAAAATACATTGCAATCAACAGTGATGCAGATGGTTCTGAGCAGTTGATTACTATTGAAGTATTTTTTTCCCTATGGGGAAATGCTTGTGACAAGGGTATGGGCAGTAAAAGGGATCGAGATAAAATCTGCGCAGAACGTGAATTTGAAGAAATTTTCCTAATCTGAGGGTCCAGCATTTATTCTCAGTTCTGTTCACATTTCCCTCATATCAAAACTTTCTAGCCTCTTAGAATCACATGGCACTTAATCTGCTTCTCTGTCATACCCCTGGTCTTTAAAAGCTATAGTGATATAAGAAGAAAACATAAATCATAATGTGACCCGAGGAAGAAACCCACCTCAAGATCTCACGGACTCTCTCATCATCTCCAGAGCCTCATCCTCAATTACATTTCCTATTCTAGGAACATATCTACTGCTGTGGCAGTCATACAAGGAATGGAGCAAACCGTAGCAGAGACTGGCCCTGCTGTGCCCCAGCCAGGACACAAAAACACTCTAAGTTCATATATGTGGAAAGGGAAGCCAGAAAAGTTCCTGAAGGGGGAACCCAAAATCCTTGGGGTAAGTCATTTTGGGATCTGGGAGAAGATTGGTGGTGGTATAAACCTGGAGCTGATCCAAAGGAGTGCTACACTGTCCCACTAGCCCACAGTACATGCATTAACTACTTCTAGGATAATCACAATAGGATTTTTCAGATCCTATCATTTCTTAAATGAATTAATTTTTCAGTGTCACAAATGTACAAGCATAGGCAGTCATCCTTCACCCTCACCCTTTTCCCTCCATATAATCCCCTTCAATTATTTGTCCCCAGTGATTATAATACCATAGTCATTCATTTCATGTTATAAGCTTAACTTTTTGGAATATAAATGTATTGTGACATGGTAAGCATAAGAAAAAGTATAGTAACAATTTAAAAAAAATCACAGTATTTGATGACATTTTGCTTCCAATTTAGTTGTATTTTGGAATAATAAAATGTGATTCAGGCAAAATAATTGCATTTAATAAAGTATAGAAGAAAATGATATGAATTTATTAGCTTATGTCCTCGTTACAGATCTTCCTAATAGCTGATGGGCCTCTATTGTCACTATCCCTCTCAGATACCTTTTTAAAGTCAGATAATTTGAGGATTGAAAAAAAATATATATCCTCTGAGTACCTCCAACTGGTGTCAAATGAGTGTGCCTGAAAAAAGAGTAGAGAATGCTATGAATGCCAATCATCATGAGAAAAATAAATGTTGAATCCATTTCTCTTTAACCTGATCTCCCAACCACTGAGCACGAGTCATTGAGCCTGCTTTGGGCTCTTTATCTACTTTCTTTTTAACATTGGGAAATTACAGGTTCACAATAATATCTTCATTTACTCCAACAAATATACTGTTTATGGTGATGTATGATCAAGTCTTTAAAAGTACATCAATGGATTTTTAAAAAGATGTTACTTTTAAAGTAGTTTTAGACTTACAATCAAGAGGAGGGTACATACAGGAGTCAAGAGGAAGGTGCATATATGAGTAAGTCCCATGAGTCCCCTGTGTAAATATAAGCTCTCACATTTACACACTTTCCTCATAATTACTCCCTTCCACCAGGGCAGTATAGCTGTTATAACTGATGAACTACACAGAGATGTCATTGCCACTCAGAGTCCTTAATTTCCATTAGAGTTTACTCTGTGTTGTATGATCCATAAATTTGGAAAGATGCATGATGGCATGTTTGCACCACTACCACATCATGCACAGGTTCTCCCTGATCTTTGCTTACATCCTTCCCAACCTCTGAATCTTTCACAAGCACTCCTTTGTGTGCCTTTTCCAGAAAATGACACCACTGGATATTGTACAACATGTATCCCCTTCAGATAAACTGCTTTAATACACATCAGATTTACTCCGTTATTCTCCATGACTTGATAGCTCATTTATTTATCACAAATAATGCTCTATTGTCTGGAGGTATGACCATTTATTTGTGTGTCTAGGTACAAAGGAATATCTTCCAAACCTTGGCAGTCTGAATAAAGTCGCTGCATGTACCCGTGTCCGGGTTCTGGGTGGACTAAAGTTTTCAACTCATTGAGTTAACACAACTGTTGGGACCATATCATTTGGTCTTGCTACACTCAAATACGTGAGGATTGTTTAATTTCATGATTCATGTGGCTGGAGGATCCAAATGGTATGTCCCATTGATGGGACAGCAGAGAAGTGGAAACAAAAATGGACACACAGAAAGGTGACCAGGAACATCAAGGCAAAGCTGCACAGCCCTGAGATATAACAGGCTGTTTTAAAAAACTCAGATGCGGGCCCGGCGCGGTGGCACAAGTGGTTAAGGTCCTCACCTTGCACACCCGGATCCCATATGGGCGCCGGTTCTAATCCCGGCAGCCCCATGTGGCCCGGAAAGCAGCAGAGGACGGCCCAAGGCTTTGGGACCCTGCACCCGCGTGGGAGATCCGGAAGAGGCTCCTGGCTTCGGATTGGCATAGCATCGACCGTTGCGCTCACTTGGGGAGTGAATCATCGGATGGAAGATCTTCCTCTCTGTCTCTCCTCTCTGTCTATCCACCTTTCCAATGAGAAAATAATAAAAATAAATCTTTAAAAAAAAAAAAACTCAGATGCAATTTGCAGAAATTGACGCAGTTGGCCAACTGCTACTGCTAAGTGCTGTCTGTAAACAAACACTGCCTTAGCACACTCAGTGCCAAGCTCCTGGCACATGAACCTCTGAGGATCAAATCAACCCCAGACGGCAGCCTCCAGCTCTGGCCTCTAAGGTTCACGTCCTCACACTTGCTCCTTACTTGTCATGCCAAGTTTCTTCCCTTTTATTCAATATCACTCACAAGCCCATGAACAGGATTTCATGTCAGACACAAAGCAAGCACTATGTGTTACATTGTAAAATACACACATGCCAATGCTCACACTACATGCTTCTCCAGATACAACGGCAGAACAGTGAGGGGATATACACTTCCAGGCATAAAAAATGTGGCCACAGTCCATCAGCAATTTCAAAACTGAATGGGACAGATGATTCTGACTTAAAGCATTTGCTGTTGTAGGAGGTAAGGGAGGCAAGACTTTGGCCAGACCTGCCCTCACAGTTTTGGTGAGCTGTCCTGGTTGTGGCTGGGCTCTCGGGTGGTGCTATGCCCAACTTTTCCAGGATTGGGTTGCATGCTGCTGCTGTTAGCTTTCTTTTGGGATCTCTAGTGGTCCCTCTAGTGTTGCTTCAGTGGGAGTTCTAGTGGAGGATCTGCAGCTGCCCCATTACTGTACCAGAGTTCTACCTGACCCCCCAGGCTTCCCTCTGCAATCTTGGTGGTGGCTGCCATGACCCTACAGCTCTTGTATTTTGTGCAGCTGAAACATTAACACCATGTGGATGCCATGGAGACCTGCTGCTTGCTCCTTAAAGAGTGGAGACACCAACCAACCTGAGCACACTTGCATCGTGGCTTCAGTGGCCTCAGGACACTACCAGAAAGGAGCAGAAGCAATCTTTAGCTCTGGGCAGTGAGCCCATGAGCTCACTGGCTGAAATCCTCTATCTTTAGCTAGTCTTAAGGTCTATGGACCTGTGAAGGCAAGAAGGCCCTGAAATGTTTGCATTTACTTTTCATTGGATCCTTCTTCAACCATGGGAAAATTGTATTCCAACCCCCCAATCTTAAGATTGCTCTATTAGCCCATGTGTCCAAAGGTCTCAGGTCCCGAGGGAATGACATATTTACTTTTTTTTTCTCATATACCCAATTTTATTTGGATTATTTCTCATCCCTATAATAATTACATTCTAATTCTTAGGTCTTTCCAGTCTGCACATTGACAGAGAGAGAGAAAAGTGCTTGTGGCAACACAGTTGTCAGAAAGGCTCCCCAGCCAGTTTCTGGCATACATATCCTTGGAGTTACTGAGGCAATCAGAGTTATTCAAACAGATAACTTCAATGTTAGTATGTCTAGAGTTCTTAACAGGAAAAACAAAATACCTGGAAGGAGAATATCACGAAAGTGTTGTGATTACATAGAAGATGGAGAATTGGGTGTGCTTAGTGACTGGAAGTGGGTAGCTTGGGCCTCATTTTGGTGGAGGCTAATCACTTTGTGTTTTTGTCGCCGTTTCTAGGTTGTGCAGATCATGATTGCTGTGATGAATATGAGCATTGGAATAACAATGATGAGTCTCACATTTCCCTTTTGGCAATCACGTCCCCTGTCAATATACCTGTGTTACCCACTTTGGGGATCGGTGATGGTGAGTAGAATAATTTCCGATACAGTTAGAAACAGTGCAAAGAGTTGCTGATAGTCTGAGCTTTGGAATCCAGTCCTAACTCTTTCTTCTGGTAATAGGACTTGGACAACAGTTAAGGATCTTTTGACACAGTTTTCTCATAGTTAGAGGACTGACAATAAAAGTAAATTTTTAGTAAGTATTAATCGGAATGTATTATTGCAGCTTGTAGATAAGACCCAAACTAGAATGAATTAAATATTGAAAGTGCTGGTTATTTCATAACAAAAAGCTTATCGGCTGGTTCCTTCCAAGGTTGGTTAATTTGTTAGTACAAGAAGCTCACCAAGAATTACTGGCAAATCATATTTAAGGCACATTTCATTATTCATAGATGTCCTTTATGCACAATGTCAAAGCAACTGTTGCTGAGGCTAACCAACATGACTGGGAAGGGCTCCCCTTTGAAGTTTATGAAATGAGGGTGCTATATAGCAAGGTGGGTGGACTAGGCTGCTATACAGGTAGGATACAGCATGTACCACATCAAATATCAGCAAGTGGTTATCTTAGAAAATGGAATTACTGTTAGATAAATTCCATTTAAGAAGATCAATAACAGATTAAACTAGGCTTAACTAAATTAAGGGATATTAGTGTTACAAATGAAATGCAAATAAAGTTTAAAAAAATCTTCCCTCAAAATAAGACATAGGAGTGTCTCTGCAGATTTAAAATGTAAGTTGCTTAGAAAAATGCCAATTTTGTTCTGCTGATGGGGAATATAAAATTTGCACACTGTGAGAACCGAGGAACCAAGTGAAGGATTGTGGGATTTCCATCTGTCCAGAAAACAGAATGTGATAGTTCAGAGTTTTATTATAAAGCTGACTTTTTGCACTCACTCTCTGGTTTCAGTGGAAGTAGAAAATTTGAGGAACAGCAAATCTTGTACTCTTCTGGGAAGTTACACAATCATATATATGTCTAGTGTCATGAGCAACAATAATGGACTTTATTAAAATCCTTCTATGATTTAGGGCATACTGCCACATGTTTTAAATGTGCATTTAAATTTCCCCACAAACTTCTGAGGGAACATTTATTATTATCTTCACTTTATGGATGAATAAATTGGAATATACGAAGTTTATGTCATTTGCTCTATAGCTGTTTGGTATAGGAATCAGAACACACACACAGGGAATGTAGTATCAGAACTACATACAGCTAGCCATTCCTCTTTTCTGCTTCTATCTTCTTTTTTTTTTTCCAAGAGCACATAGCAAATCAAATTTTGTAGTTTATTTTTTAATGCCTACTCAACAGTTTACCAAAACTGCAAGGGCTGTGCTTCCCAACCGAATGACCATTCAGATTGTTGTAGGTGACCCACTTTATGAAATGTCAATTAATTGTTGAAATGCTTTATTGTTGCTCTCCTTTATTTTTCTTTTCAACCTTATATCCTGATCTTCCCTGTGAAGTGCCTCTTTTTTCTTATACAGTGCTAATATTGATACTGAGAACCAATCACAGATTGCCCATATTTTTTGGCTGCTTTAGTCTCTAGGACAGTCACATGGCTTTTAGCAGAATTCCACAATATTGTCTTTTCATTAGCTTGGACATACCACAACTATAGTCTCAAATACACTCTTAAGATCATGGAACAATAACTACAGAAATACCGGAATAATAAAATTTCCTACATTTCTTTCAGGTGAAACTCCTTTAGGGATTGTCTTAATCTTTAGCTTATCTCATTACTTTTGGGAGCACCTACACCTCTCAGTAACTTCATTCTTTTGTGTGCTTTGGGGACATTATGAAGCCTTATTGCTACATTTCTTTTCCATTCCTTTTATGTTTATTGTTGTAAGATACTTACTACATGTGAGAGCGCTTCAATAAGTTCCGTAGAAAATTGACATTGAAGAGATAAGTTCATTCTGATGCAAAAAAATTTTTAGTCCATACATAACTTTTTCAGGATATATGTTTTCCATGAGCTACTTTGACCTGCCAACTATAGCAATATTTTTATTTATTTAAAACTCTATAGAAGATTTTACCTAATATTCTCAGATTTTTGTAATATAATTTATCCATTCTTAAATGTCAGTAATTTACCTATGTAAGTATTTATCTTACGGAGTTTGTTAATATATCCAGACTAGTACATAACAGTATATAAACTCACCTTGATTTTTAAGATTTATTTAGATATTTATTTTTTGAGAAGGAGAGTTACAGAGAGAGAGGGAAAGAGACAGAGATCTTCTTTCTGCTATTTCAGGCCCCAGACAGCCGTGACAGTGAAAGTTGAGCTAGGCCAACGTCAGGAGCCTGACTCCAGCCAGGTCTTCCATATGACAGTTTCCTTTTAAGACAATTGGTTTGTGAAATATATCTATCTAATTTAGCAATGCATTTTAATAAGTTGCAACTTCTAGTATTTGTTTAAAGTTTTAAAACTGAATTTTTTTTTTCATCATGACTAGTTTATTTTCTCAGGATCCTTCTCAATTGCAGCAGGAACTAGAACTACCAAAGGTCTGGTGAGTGATAATTCCTTTTGTTTTCATTTGATGCCAAAAAAAGGAAGGGTTTGGTCAAATACATATCCTGAGAAATTATAAAATCTTAAATCTTTGATTTGTCTTATTTAGTAAGATACGACTTTCAAAAACTGTAATCCACAGTTAGCTATTGGTGGAATTACTGATGTGAAATTGAGCATTTTGACAAGATAGTTGCTGAGGACAACTTCAATGAAGATACAGAAAATTCATGAGAAACAACGCTAAGCGAATCAGTCAGACAAACCTTGAAATATGAGGTCTAGCCTGTGGCAACAAATCCTAATTGGTGTGGCATAGGATTTTACTGATGGTTACATTTAACATCAAAAATGAAATGTGAGTTTGCAATTAAAGAAATGAACAATGAGTTATGACTTAAGTAGGCAAATTTTGAATATTGACTCTTAAGCCAATTCTTTTTGCATAAACTAATAAAAAAAATTACCAGATTCCAGCCAGACTGGGTTAGGCAGGAGTACCCACCAGCATGAGCTAGAACTGGAGGCGGATGGGGCCAGGCCAGGCTACAGCATCCAGCGGCATATGCCAAGGTGGGACAGACCATGCCAGACCAGGCCACAGTACCCAGCAGCACATGTGTGACCTGGGGGGTGGGTGCAAGCCCAATGGAGATGTGAGGACACCCCTACTGGACCACTTCTCCTGCTTGTGAGCATAAGAGATGAGACTGGGAGCAGACCAGGCAGGGTAGGGTTACAACACCTACTGGGTTGCCTGTGAACTGGGTTATAGGGAGAGCCAGGCTGGGCTATGCTACCATATCCACTGGTGCATGCATGAGCCAGAGTAAGAGTAGGCTGGTTGGGCTTTGCTGTAGCATTAACTGGCAAGTGCCAGGACCGGCAGCAAGTCCTGTTGAAATAGAACCACCTGGAGAGTATAAGATCCAGAGTAGGGAGTGGTTCCAGTAGGTCAACTGCAGGCAAGTATCTGATGGACTGCAACTCCCACTGGTGAGCACAAGTACCAGGACTGGGGACAGGCCTGCCTAGTTAGGTGGCAGCATGCTCTGGCATGAGTGAGGGCTGGAGGGTGGAGTTAGCTGGATTGAGTTAGGCTTCAATGCCCAATGATGTGTATGAGAGCTGAAAAGGATGTAGGACAGACCAAGCCAATCCACTGTACATGTTTGCAGACACAGAAACCAGGCTGGAAACCAGCCCAGTGGGGTTGTTGGAGGTTGCTCTGACTAGCTTGCAGCTTCCAATGGGGTATGTGGGGCCAGACTGTTGGGCAGAACTGTAGCACCCATTAGTTTGAGTAAGAGATGGGGCCGAAGATAGATCTGACCTAGCAATTGCAACTGTCACTGTGTGTGTAGGCTCATGTGGGTGGCAGAATGAGCTGAGTCCTGTACTGTCAGGAACACAAGAAAGTCAGGTCTGGAATCACTTCAGATAAGATTTCTGGACTCAGAAATCCAACCACGGGGAGAGTGGCAGGACCTGTGCTCTGACCATGGAGTGCTGAAGATGGTGCGATGGACAGCATACGCAGATGCCATGGAGGGTTAGGCAGTCCATTAGAGCCCGAGGAGGACATCTGGTACCATAGCAGAGGAAGGAAGGCAGAACAAATTGGTCAACTACCCCAGTAAAGCATGGCAGCAAATTTCTGCGTGAATGGAAAAATTCTCTGGGGTGGACCATGTCAGCCAATGGATCTTGGAAAGATTTCCTCTTTAGATTTGCAAGCTAGACAGCATGTCAGAACTATCGAAACCACTTTAATAGAACCCTCAGAACATGCTCCACAATGGGAAACATGGGATGACATCAGGTGACTGTTCCACCTCCCTGGGTATTGGGGCAGTTGGGAGGTTGGGTGTGGCTTCTCCTCTTGTCTCCCCTGCCCCCACCCCAGATATAGAATAACATAAAGAAGGTGTGGAAATAGTGGTTTTACCTGCTTTCTCCTAGTCTTTGGCCCTTCCTACCTTAAACAGCTATGTAAACATCATCAAAAATAAATTTTAAAAAAGATTTTAACAAATATTTTTCTGGTTAGAGATCATATCTGAGCTTTGTTTGCTTATAATGTAAACATCAAACTCTGGAGAATGGTTAGTAAGGCCTTCATAGATCTCCCACAGCCTTTTTCTCTGGAATCTGCTCCAGCTTCACCACCACCTCCCCTCCCCCCCAAAATCTTTGTGCTATAGAAACACAATGAACATCTCATACTTTCTTGAGCTATCTGCGATTTTATCAAAAGCTATCTTTACTTCACACGTGAAATCAGAATGTATATTCAGCAGAGAGGGGATATGCAATAGGTATACAGGCAAGAGGGACAGAGAGCATTTTGAAAATCATCAGAGGACAAGCAGGGCCTTGCAAAAAGAGGACACCAACAGAGCTGTGCAGTAAATGTGTACCTGGTAGCCCTGTAAGGATATCTGAAACTTGTCATATGTTCCCAGGGGAGTCATCTGAAGAATTTAAGCTAAAGAGCAAGAGAATCATATTTGTGTTTTGACAAACGATGAGAATTGAAACTATTGTAAAGAAAGAAACAAGTTAGGACTTCCACAGTAATCAACATTCTGATTTAGTGGATGTAATGTGCTAGGAAACAAAAGGTGGGTGTAAAGCAGTTGATGGAGATGTATCTGGCCTTATGACTGGATTTTTTTTAATAATTTGCATTTCCTCACAGGTACAAAGTAGCCTGGGGTTGAACATCAGCAGCTCTGTCTTGGCTGCAATAGGAATCATAATCAGTGCCCTGAGTGTGGTTTTTTATTCATTCCGATATCATTATTGTGTCTTTAATGGGAGAGATGGTATTTGCCTCATGACCTTTTACATTATAATGGTAAGTGTTTCTTACTTCTATTGGATACTACTGGGGAAATCAAGTGTACGGAGGGCTTGCTCTAGCAAACAAACAACAACAACAACAAAAAAGCAGCAATGAACCTTGCCTTGCTGTTGAATTACCTTAGGCAATTGGAAGAGATTGAGAAATAGAGTCTTTGCTTAGGAGTCAGATCCTACTTCTTTCAGTTCCTCTGCTGTGTGTGCGGAGGTAACATGGGTAAGAGCTCGCAGTTAACAGGACAGCTACTGGTTAAATGTTACTGTGCTGCACCTTTCATTTCTCTTCTCCTGTTTAGTTTTGAGACACTGATCACTACATACAATTACCCACTCTAAAAGTGGAGTACACAGGTCAACCCTTAAATATCCACCAGGGCTTCATGGTGGAGCCTCATGGAGTTACTTGATTCCCTAAGAACACAGGAATACTATTTTGATTATTATCTTACCACAGTGGTAGGTAACCCACTGTGCCCTCAAGGATGTTCCATCCATACGAATTGTTTTCATCTTCAATATACAGGCACCGGAAAATTTCCAATCTCCATTCCATATTTTGGCACTCTTTTAAAAATACAAATTGCCCTCATCTAGATTTGCTTTAGTCTGCAAACCAAGACTTAGTATTTTCAAGCAGTAAAACCTCTTGAAGTTTTAGGACTTAGTGTAAATGCAAGAAGGAAGTTTTATCAGCACATCACGGTTGACTAAAATGCACAATTGAGTGGTTACTGTTGGGCCAGCATTTTGGTGCAATGGGTTTGGCTGCCACTTACAATCCTGATATTCCATATTGGAGCATGGGTTCAAGTCCTGACTGCTCTGTTTCTAATCACCCTTGCTGCTACTGTACCTGGGAAGAGAGCAAAAGGTGGCCCCTTCAACTCATACGGGAGACCCAAATGGAGTTTCTGGCTCCTGGGTTTGACCTGACCCAGATTTGGCTATTGGCACCATCTGGAGAATGAACTAACAGATAGGAAAGAAATCTTTCTCTCATTCTATCTGTGTCTCTCCAATTGTCTCTCCTTCTATGTCTCTCTGCCTTTCAAATGAATATTTTTTTTAAAAAAATCTTTTCTATTAAAAACCATATTGGTCCTACTCGAAAACACTGTTCTGTTTTATCTTCTCCATTTTCATAGTCTCTTTCCTACACCTAAATATGAAAATTCAATATTTTCACTAATGCATTATGCAGAATCAAACACATTTCGCTTAACTCATTCCCAGATAACCCTACACAGGTTTTGAGGGCTTTACTTGTGTAATCACATAAAAATGATTCTTTCAGAGTCTTTGTTAAACTAATTTACTCCCTTTAAGATTTCTAATAATTCTTTTAGTACATAATTATAATTTTTCTATCCACTAAAAACAAATAAAGCTCCTACATATAATTTAACAGAGCTTATAAGATCATTCAAAATCAACAAAAGAAAGATTAGATTCTAAATTTTCATACCCTAACACCCTTATTATTTACTGGTTTCCTAAATTTTTGTCCTGAACAAGTATCTTACTTTCCATTTCTGAACTCAACTAAATAGATTTCTTTTAAGAGCAATAATCAGGATAACATCTGGAGTTCATTTCACATAAAATGCACCATCAGTGACTCTCCCCTGGACTGAAATGCTGTACCACTGTCCTAGAATTACTCATTGTTTTCAAAAAGAGGCTCTGAGAATTATATAGCTTATATTTCATTTACCTCAATCACCTTCTCTCAGAGGTCATCATGCATTTCTATCAATTATGTGGATTTTCCCCCTGGCTCTGCTAGTCAAAACATGCCTTTTTAAAGACTTCCCGCGACCTGCAGCATCTCATCTGTCCATTCCTACTTGAGCACCTCTCCAATCAGTCCCCAGATCTCCAACTCCTCACTTTATACCCAATCCAGGAATTGGCATACTGGGAAACATAAAAGGGACAGAAGTCTCCTATCTTCAAGAAGCCCCAGTTGGTTTTGGAGGAAAAGCTTAAAATATTACAAAGCATATGATTATAAACAGGTTAGAAATAAAAGAGGAGTTCTTTATAGAAAGGAATGTTTAGAAAACAAGCTATCAGCATCCTTAGCCAGAACCATATAGAATTGCCAGTGAACAGCTGCACTTGGATTAGAAAGACTGATTCATTTGACTCTAAAGAGTAATACTGTGTTTATATGTATACATGTTAGTATGTACACAAACACATTAGTAGGCATATATATGTATATATCTATAAATATATACCTGGTCCCTTGGTAGAACTCTAGCCTGTTTCTGACATTTTGTTGAAATATGGCCCAGCCCAGTTCTTCCTATATCATGTGTGGCTGTTTTTGTGATATAGTGGCAGAGTTGAATATTTATGTCAGAGACCTTACGCTCTGCTAAGCCGAGCATGCACATGATCTGGCACATTACAGAAAGTCTTACAACTCTTGGTCTACCACTCTGGATGGTAATATCCCTGAAGATACATAGATTATCTTTTTTTATCCGCTGCTCTGTATCTGAATCTGTTGAAGGTGTGAATAGATTTTTTTTAAGTGAATATAAATATTATCAAGATTCACTGAGTCTGTACCTCTTGTATCTTGAGATCTTCGTTTTCAAAAGATTTATGTATTTATTTGAAAATCAGAGCTGCAGAGAGAGAGGAAGATACAGAGAAAAAGAGATATCTTCAATGCACTGACTCCTCAGACAGATGCAATGGCTAATGCTAAGCTAGGCCAAAACCACATGGGTGGCAGGGATCCAAGTACTTGGGCTGTCTTCCCTGCTTTTCTCAGTACAATAGCAGAGAGCTGGATTTGAAGTGGAGTAACCAGGACCTGAACTGATACCCATTTGAGATGCCGGTACTGCAGGCAGTGAGTTTACCTGCTGTGACACTCACTGACTCAGAGCTCTTACTGATCTATCCTGTGATAGAGTGACTATCTCTAATCACAGAGAGAAAGAGAGAATATTTACACTAAAGCATCCAAAGTGGGGCCAACCCTGTCCTCCTGAGGCATCAGCTGCATTCCTGTGGGATACCAGGAAGGATCTCTGTATTTCTTGGCATCCAACCAGCCCAACTCTAGTTGTTGTGGCGGCCATTTGGGAAGTAAACAAGTGAATGGAAATGTTTTCTTTCTGTGTTCCTCCTCCTTCTCTCTTTAACTCTACCTTTCAAATAAAAATAAATCTGTAGGGGAAAAAGAATCCAAGGCAATAATAGAAAAGGAGACTATTAGAAACAAATATATTGCCCAGTGTTCTTCAAATTTTTTCACATATTTTGACCAATAGCCAGACCTAAGCCAGTTCTTTTTTGTTAGATTTATTTTTATTGAAAGGCAGATCCACAGAGAGGAGAGACAGAAAGATCTTCTAAGTAGTTGCAATGCCCAAGCTGAGCCAATCTTAACCCTAGGAGCCAGGAGCCTCTTTTGGGTCTCCCACCTGGCTACAGGGTCCCAAGGCTTTTTGGCCATCTTTTACTGCTTTTCCAGGCCACAAGCAGGGAGATGGGTGGGAGGTAGAGCAACTGGGACATGAACCAGCACCCACGTGGATTCCAGAGCACACAAGACAAGGATTTAGCCACTAGGCCATTGTTCTGGCCCAAAACCAGTTCCCTTGCGAGATAGGTTAGTGTTTAACTAAGGAAGTGTTCATTGTTGCATGAGTTTCTTCCTGCTGCTTTAAATGGCCTTGAAATAATGCTGATTTTTATCTTTTCCTCCTGGAGATTATAAGTTTGAGATGAAAGTATTATCAGCCATGCATGCCTTTCTGAGACTGTACACGAAAACCAGTCTTTGCCTATCCTGGGTTCGAGCTCAGAAGAAAATAGTGTAGCACGTTCAGGTTTCTCTTCTGCCTCTTGTCTCCACTTACAAAGATGCTGACCTTATAATGGTCCCAGCAAGTAACCTAGGATAATTGGTCCTTATCAGCTAATAAGCATCTGTATCCTATCTGCAAACTTCATCTTCATTGCCTTACAACTGAACACAGTCACAGATTCTAGGGATTAGGATGTATGTCTTCACAGAAAACCATTTTAATATAACCATTTACTATGTCAATATGTTAATATGTATGGAAATTTTTAGCACTCATCAAGGGCTATGATGGTGATTAGCTTTGCAATTACACCTCCACCACTTTCATATTTTTAAAAGAGAATTATTGTATTGGCTCACTTTTTAATTTAAAAGACACACACACACACACCCATCCTATCTGCTGGTTCTCTCTTCAAATATCCACAGCAGCCGTCCAGAGCTTGGCTGAAGCCAGGATCCCAGAAGCCAATCTGGGATCTCACTACTTGGGACATCACCTTCTGCCTTTCAGGGTGCATATTTATGAAGAAACTGGCATCAGGAGTGGAGCTGGGACTTGAACCAGGCACTGTGTTATGGGGTATAAGTGTCTCAAGTGGTGTTTTCACCACTGTGCCAACTGCCTGCTCCTGCCTCCACCCTTTTCAAGAACATCCATATTGTCTGGCTACTGTAACACTTGAAGTAGGGGGTTGAAGACAAAAAAAAGAATTAATTTTGCTGCATTTAAGTTTCCTGACAGTGCTTGTTTCCTATTGTCATCTTGTTAATCAGTTGTCAGCATTTAGAACTGGTCTTCTGTGTTGTTCACGTAACTTTTTGAATTTGTTCCAAGGGATTGGATGTTATGGCACTTGTTTTAAATGTTCTCGAATTATGCATTGCGGTGTCCCTCTCTGCCTTTGGATGCAAAGTGACCTGCTGTAATCCTGGTGGGGTGAGTATGGCTCTTCATTAGAACGTGTGTAGTAATTTTCTGTTGACATGCAATCAGTTGTACAATATTAAAGGCTTAAAAGCCAACTTGTTAATTACCTCTGGCTCCTTACTTTTAGGTTACTTTAGGTACTGCCTTTTTTAGGTCCTCTATTACATGCCTTAACAGACTTGAGCTAAGGAATTCATTGGGGCTGTGGTCTCTTCTGATCTTCTTCCAGTTGGCGTAGTGGAATTGCTTTCCTTCAGTTCTAGAATTCTGGACAGCACACTTCCTCTTAGAGGACAGCAGGGCAATGAACATCTCAGCTCTTTGAAAGATTTCACTTGGTTGAGCTGGATTCATGCACAATAATATCCCCTTCAATAAATTCAAATTCCAGTGACAGGTATCTGGTGTCCTGAGAACAACATTCCATCACAGGTCCCACTCAGACTCAGCTGGAGGAAGTCACAATGGTGTGCCTTACCGAGTATCATCCTAGAACCCTATCTACCATCCAGCTAACGGAAGCCTCTTCCATATTCCTACTCCCTTAAAGAGCATACTCAGTATAGATCAGAGGATTCTTCATCAACGGCTAAGTCTAAAACAGTGCCAAATATTGCTCCATCATTCTACTGTGGCCACCTTCCCAAGGCTACTGAAGAAATACTAGGATTGTAATTGTCTCTTAGTTTGAACAAAACCCACTCATTCTCTGAGCCTAAAGCTTACACAAGATCCTTACAGAACTAACACCACAGCCATAGACAGGGAAGTGTGAGACTGAAGCAGAGAAGAGATAAGATCCCCTAGAAACAATAGGACATGTATGCTTCTGAGGATTCTAGACTGAAGGCATGGCTAGGAAAATCCCAGCATCTGCTCGCCCAGAAACTGACAAAATCTGCAGCTAAATTATAAGCGAATATTAACTTGATACAATTGTGTTTTTATGGTGCTTTTTCTCCATCCTTCTGGGCCTCTTTGCTTTCTTTTAGGATTTCTAGGCAAAAATCACATGCCATACCCCAGGGCCCTTCCACTTATAATTGAAATGGAGAATAAATTGCATTAACTTGAATAATTGGATTTGTCTTATAAAATCCTAAAAGTTTCTTTTTTTTTTTTTTAGCATTTTGTAGTTCTCAGAATGATTTTATAATTACATTGAGTGCAGCATTTTATTTCCATGATATGAAGGATTTGAGCATAGCGGAAAATTTCTTAGTAACCTTTAATTTGTAACATTTAGGTCCGGAGTCCTTTCTGTTTTGAGAGCCGTTAGAGATGGGAAATTTTGCTCCCGTTGAACTCCTGATGTGAATTCAGAACGTTGGTGTCTTTGTGACATATATAAGTCTCTATCTTTCGCTTGTCTTTATCACCCCACCTCCTCCCTCCATTTCATTCCACACTGAAGTTGTGATTCAAGGTTCAGCATTTTGTTCATTGCATGATAATTCCTGCCATTCTGGGATAGTATGGTTTCTGCAAAGTTTATTCATGGTTATAAGAATCCTGATTTGGATATGCCATTGCCATCAGCCTAAGCAACCTTGTTTGGAAGAACTCTGTGTTTTGTATAATATGCCCATTTACCCAACTTCTTGGGCATTTTCCACATGTCAGATTAGTCAAAAGTCAGCAGTAACCATATATGACTGCAAAGAGCTATTATCGAATGTGTGTAATAGTTCTGGCTTGATCTAAAGAATTCCTGAGGAATACCACCATCTTCATCTTTGAACTAAAAAATGAAAAAAAAATCAACTCTTAACGATGACATCAGGTGGGCAAAAATGGGAAACTCTGAGGTTGCCTGGATGACTCACCTATGGAATTCTGCTTGATTTCACAGGTTATATTCATTATGCCGCCAAACTCTAACATAGCAGAAATAGCATCCCCTGCACTACTTAGAGAAGATTTGGTGCCACCAACAGCTCAACAGAAAAATATTCCAGAGTACCTACCCTGATTGTAATGAAAGAATTCTACTTGGAAAAGCACTAGAATCCAGCTTTGACACACACGTCAACTACATTCAGAATCACTATCATTTTACCCCCTAGAATCCACTGATTCAATTTTCTGGCTCTTTATCACATTATCAAAAAATAAATAAATGGATCAAACTCTGAGTCCTCAGAAATTGAAAAAAATCTGTTTAAGACATTATGTAAAGATGTTTTCAAAGAAGATTCGGAAGGGGAAATACAAAAGCTATCATTGAGATGAAACTTTGTGCAGACTAGCTTTTGTTATTTTCAGTATTCATAAATACAATTCATTTAGCATACTGACCTTCTGTTCCAGACTTACACTAGATTCATTCTTTCCAGTATTTTTAAATTGTTAATAGATACACATGTTTTCATCAGATGTCATCTTTCTTTAACCTGAAGAACTCTGCTTAACATTCATTGCTATGAACTTTTTTGGCATTACATTGTTGGAGATTATTTGTTTATTGTCTACAGCCATTTTATTTTTGCACTGATTCTTGATGGATATTTGACAGCATACAGATTTTTTCCTTTCATGTCTTTTGATTGTCTTCTTGCTTATGTAACGTTTAATTGAAGTGTGTTATTATTATTTTTGTTCAGTACTTAAAGTCTACTTTTTCTCACTTTAACCATTGCTTATTTATTTGTTTGTAATTTCTTTCTTTTTTTCTCTCTTTTTAGAAGATGCATCTATTTTTATTGGAAAGGCAGATCTACAGAGAGAGGAAAGACAGAAAGATCCTCTGTTCACTTCCCAAGTGACCACAATGGCTGGAGCTGAGCCAATCTGATGCCAGGAGCCAGGAGACTGCTCTAAGTCTCCCACACTGGCATAGGATCCCAAGGCCTTGGGCCATTCTCCACTGCCTATCCCAGGCCACAGCAGGGAGCTGGGTAGGAAGTAAATCAGACAGGAGACAAACTGGCACCCACATGGGATCCTGGGCATTCAAGATTAGGACTTTAGCCACTGAAGCATAGCATCAGGCCGAATTTCTTTATTATTATTTTTAAAGAATTATTTATTTTTATTGGAGAGGCAGATTTACAGAAAGAAGGAGAAACAGAAAGATCTTCCATCTGCTGATTCACTCCCCAAGTGGATGCAATTGATTGGAGCTGAGCCAATCTAAAGCCAGGAGCCAGAAGTTTCTTCCAGGACTCCCATGTGGGCGCAGGGTTACAAGGCTTGGGGCCATCCTCTACTGCTTCGCAGGCCATAAGCAGGGAACTGGATGGAAAGTGGATCAGGCAGGAATCAAACTGGTACCCAAATGGGATCCCAGTGCTTGCAAGGCTAGGATTCAGCCACTAATCCATTGCACCAGGAACTGCAATTTCTTTGTGACATTGTTTAGAGCACTTTTTAAAATTTTCATACAATTTGAAGTTAGCTGAGACAGTTTTATTTGTAAGTTTACAATTCTCATCAGTTTTGGAAATTTCAATTATTTTTAATATAATTTCCACCTGCAACTTTTTGTTTTTCTTGAACTTGGGGTATGCATAGTCCACTTTATGTCACTCAACTGATGCTGTGCTACTCTTTCCAGGATTTTCTTCCTCCTCTGTTTCACTTTGATCTTCAGCTTCCATAACCTTTTCCTTTGCAAAGATGAATGTGTTGACACTTCCCGCAACTTATTTATTCATATCAAATATTGCTTCTTTTATTCTCTATAAATTCTATTTCACTCTTCTGTGTGTATTTCTATTTTGAAGTTCCATTTTCTTTTTAAAGGCATAGCGAGAGAGAAAAAGAGAGAGGGGGCAAAAGAGAGAAACATCTTTCATGTTCTGTTTCATTCTGCAATTCTACAAGTGCCTGTAAAAACTGGGCACGGAACAGGATTAAGCCAGCAACCCTGAGCTAAGTCCAGCCCTCCTACGAGAGCAGCATGGCCCCACCCAGGTACTTGAGCTATCGTATGCTGCATCCCAGGGTGAATATCAAACGGAAACTGAAACTAGAAACCAAACTGAGACTTGAATCCAGACTGTGTCAAATAGGGACATAGTTATCCCAAGCAACTCTATAACTGCACAAAATGCACACTTCTGCATTTCAGTTTTATCCCTGTTTTATTGACAGCGTCTCTGCAATTTGAGTACACACCTATTATAGATATCTTAACGTCACCTACCGGGGATTTGTATTTCATCTGTAAATTGTGTGTTAGTTTTGTTGACTGATTTTCTTCCCCTGGTTTTTGGTTATTGTCATTTTTTCTGCTTTTTTGGCAAGCATAATATTTTGGACAGGATGATAGATATCATAGTTTCTATATAAATGAGTGTTCAATATTTTTCAAAATGTATTACATAAAGAAAATAAGGTGTATGGGACTTATAGGGTACATGAGTATTGAGGGAAAAATCATTACATAATGAGTTTTTAGCAGAAGAGAGAGGGAAAGGCAGTTCAATTAAATGATTGCCGGAAACTTCCAAGTCTTGGAAGCGTTCAGGCCATTCAGATCTATGAAGCCCAAACATTCTGTCTCAATCCAGAAACAATGGGATTTTTTTTTTAACAACATACAAGTGGCATGCCATATACAGGAAATCTCCATTAGGTGATCAGAGTTGTCAGCAGAAGCATTGTGACCCAATACAGAATGAGATGGAACATTTGAATTAATAACTGGAAAAAGCCTGCAAGCTGACAGTACTCTCTCTAGTAAAGCTGTCCTTCAGAAATGGAGGCGAAAGAAACTCCTAGACAAAGTGTGAGGGAACGCCAGGGACACCTGTCCTGCAAGAAATGCTTAAGGAAGCATACCACTGGCTTTAGGTCTAGCTATTAGTCACTGCTTTTCCTTAAGCGCTCTCTCTTTCTGCCCTTTCCCCTCTCCCCCTCTCTCTCATTCTCTCTCTCTCAGGTCTTTTGGCCTGTATGTTTGTGTGTCAATGCCTAACTTGGTTCTTGAGCTTGTACTCTTGTTGTACTCTTCTGTACACCTTTGAATTCTGTCACACAGGGAGTGAAGAATCTGCAGTTATCCTAGTCAGGACCACCGCCTCCCCTGCCCGATACACTAGAGAACATTGATTCGGGGAGGGAGGCAATCATGATAGCTTGCCAGAGTCCGGCTCCAGCTGAGTTCGGAGCTCGAGAAGGGTGCGTGAAATAGGCGTAAAAAGAACAGACGGACCACTACAATTGCAACATCATTGTGGACCTCGTGAGAAAGCTGTCTGCTTTATTTATACAGAAGCAGTACATGTTTTTGGGGGGTTTTTTTTTAGGGCATTTTGACATAGTTTCAAGGGAGGCACAATTTACAACAGCTTGAGAGGTGAGGGAGGACCCCACATTCCTTGCTCATCTCAGCTTGCCAGGCCCCACCTACTCCCCTCACGTCTGGGTCCCATCCTTGGCGCCGCCTGTGACAACCAGACCCCTGCCTTGCATTACATATGGGAAAAGGTCTGAGGCCTTGGTTTATGGGGACTGGGGCATTGACATCAAAGGTCATTAGGCCTGCAGGCTCACACAGTTTGTTAACTAAGCAAGAGTTACAACGAAAAAGAATTGCAATTAGCAATGAGCCATGTTTACTCCATTTAGGTTTCCACTCTACAATGGGCAAGTAAATGTTTCCAAAGATAACTCTACAAATAGTTTCACCTTAAGACAGGGCATTATCTATTCTGATGTTGCAGCCAACATTTTCTCAGTAGACAACACATCTTATTCAGTAATACATTCCTACTACAATTCTTATTCTACAACTTATCCATCACTTAATGAGAGAAATACATCAAAAGAGAAAAAACAAAGACCTAAGACAAAACGTTTCCAACATTAAATCCCTCTACAACTGCAGGTTCTACAACCTCACAAATGATCAAGCAATAATCAAAAGTATGTATGGGGCCCGGCACGGTGGCGCAAGTGGTTAAAGGTCCTCGCCTAGCACGCCCGGGATCCCATATGGGTGCCGGTTCTAATCCCGGCAGCCCCGCTTCCCTTCCAGCTCCCTGCCTGTGGCCTGGGATAGCAGTCGAGGACAGCCCAAAGCTTTGGGAACCTGCACCCACGTGGGAGACCCGGAAGAGGCTCCTGGCTTCGGATCGGCATAGTATCGGCCCGTCGCGCTCACTTGGGGAGTGAATCATCGGACAGAAGATCTTCCTCTCTGTCTCTCCTCTCTGTATATCCGCCTTTCCAATGAAAAAAATAATAAAAATAAATCTTTAAAAAAAAAAGTATGTATGATATTAGTAAAATCACCCTATATTTCCTCTAGTTAAAAAATTATGAAGGCAGCTAAAGCAACTACATTTACTATGTTCTAAAGAGTTGCAAGGACAGGCTAACCTTTAAGGTCACAGTGACTATATTTTTGCCATAGCAGGATAGCCTTTAGGGTCCCAGTAACAGGATAGCTTTTAGGGTCCCAGTAGCTATATGTTTTGTCATAGCAATTTCAGCCCATACTCCCATCACTTCCATTAGTTTGTAAAATTCTTATCAAGCCATTTCCCAGAAAGCATGCTAAATGTTTGGGCCAGATTTCAGAGCAATGGGTAGGCACACAATAAGGTGTCTGGAAACAGCATGGGCTTAATTGTACTCCTGTGCACAGTTAAAGGCCCACTCACCAAGACATTATCGGTAACAATAACTCTTAAGCTCATGTTGGTTGTAAAAAGCCATCTCACAGGGGCAAACTATGCCTAATAGATTGCAAGATTCTTAGTGGGGTGGTTGAGTGTCCATGCAAAAGGGGGTGAAACTGCGTCAAGGTGGGCAGAGAGAAGTCCGCCAGGCCCTGCCAAACAGCTGGAAGCTCCCCGGGCCCTGCCAAGCAGGGAAGCTGTTCTCTTCACACCTTCGTGTTATTCACACCTACTGCATGGACCCCAGCAATAACTAAAAGGAGAACAGATGTCATAGGGAACCAAAGGAGATTCCTCTAGTCCTGTAGAAGAGGTAACGGAGCGTGGATAATGAAAGAAAGTAGGATTTTGGCCATCGGCACTTTCTAGAAGACATAATCTCAAAATGTTGTGTGGAGGCCCAACGAGTTAGAACCTTATTGTTTTACAAGTAAGTACTTGTAAAAACCAAAGGATCAAAGAGAAAGAGAGAAAAACCCCAGAGATAGATAATAACTAGGGTATTTTATAGAGAATATACAGATAATTGTGTGTGATAGTAGAAGACCACCAACATTTCTCACAAGTACCATCACTGTCACATATAAATTCTTGTCTGTGGGCTCTGTCACACATAGGTGAGAGACTTTTCTAGTAAAACAAGGCTGAATAACAGGAAATTAACTTGAGTGTCAGCAGCAAAATGGGGAAATAGGAAGCCTGTGACGTCAGTCCTCCTTGTAGACACAAAATGAACAATACATGGACACGTGGCATTTGTGAACACTCTGGAAGCTAGTGAGGTTGATGTTGGGTAATCAACTTCCACTGCTTTCCCGGGCAAACTATCAGTGAGCTGGATTACGAGAAGAGCATCTGTGACTCCAGCTAGCAATCCAAAGTGAGATGCTGGTGTCACCAGTGGTTGACTAACACAATGTGTCTTAATGTTGGCTCCAATGCTTTTTCCAATGTCTAAATCTCAGACAAAACTTACAAGGCACACAGAGAAACAACAAAACGTGACATAACCAAAGGAGCAAAGAAAACTGCCAAAGTTTAATTCTAAGGAAATAAATATGTATCAGTCACAGGATCAGTATTCATTATATCATAGTTCACAACAACAAAGATGCAAAAGCAACCCAAATGTCCAAACGTGGATGCATAGAGGAAATGGTCTAAGACAACCAATGGATCATTAATCACTGTTACAATGAACATGTAAATGGGCGCATCCTGGTCAGTGAAATAAGGCAGTAACTAAAAGACAAGTGTTGTATGATTCCAACTCATCTGGCATATCTAATTAACTCCTAGCTAGCAAGTAGAAGGGTAATTACCGGACATTGATTCCAACTCATCTAAGATATCTAATGAACTCATAGGAATCGAACAGAGGGAGGTTACTAGACATTGAGGGTACCAGAAACATGAGAGTTATTGCTTGATGGGTGTGAGGTTTCCGTTTTATAAGTTGAAAGAAATTCTATATCTGCTCTATCATATATAGACACAATCAGTGCTGATGAACTGATTGTAAAAACCTGACATTAAAACCACAATGTATACATTACAAGTCCTAAAATAAAGAGAGTTATGCTCTTTAAGGCCTTTCCGCAGACGCCACAGGAAACCTCTCTTGCTCCTAGATCAGTGGTTCTCAGCACAGTGATGAGAGAATTCGTTGTTGCTCTCTCACAAGACATTTGGCAATAGCTGGTAACATTTTTGTTTTCATACCTCAGTAGGTTTGTGACAAGGGTCTAATTAATAGAGGCCAAGGAATCTGGTAAACACTTTATAATAAACTTATTTCAAAACATTTGTGGAAAATGGGATAAAAAGATCAATTTAGCTAAAAAAAAATACTGAAATTTGTGCCTCTAAATGATTGCTGAAAGTTAATGGCAAATGCATATTTTAAAAAACTATGTGTTTATTTTTAGAAACTATACCAAAATAAACTTAGCTATATATTCCCTTATTTCCACACATTTTTTTCAGTTTTTTTTTTAAACAAGATGGTTGCTCACAGCAAAAAATCATTGTGTCCAAAATATCCTTTGCATTTTCTGGGGAAATGTTGTCATACTATAGCAATCACACATGTTATTGTTATATTAAACTTTTTCGTTGCTATTCAGTCTGGTGGCATTCAGACTGAGAATACAAAGGAGATGAGATGAGTCTAAGATGAAAGTCAGACGAGGCAGGTCATTAGATATTAGCACTTAATAATGTAACTATAGTTAATTGTATTTTGTGACTGCTCCTGCGAAAGTGTGGGTAGGCCTTTTACAAATCTTTTCCCTTGTTTTTGTGAGGATTCTGAATGGTTGGCATTGACCACCTTTCACATGGTTTGGAAATGGAGGCTCTGAAAACAACCAATCTGGGAAATGCTGGGGTGGCCTAAGCTCTAGGACTGCCCAATCATGTGTTTTGCTTGTGATTTTTCTGAAGATGCTAGGAGGAACAAAAAAAAGAAAAAAAGAAAAAGGAAGCATAGGCACATTTCACAAATCCACATTCTGCAAGTATCACATCCTGTGTGGTGGTAAACATTGGCTCAGGAAGATAAAGACAAATAGGAACTATTGACAAGGCTGCCTGAAAACCAAGAACTGACACCGTGCTGGAGTTTCTGAGTGTTCAGCTGGAACCAAGGGCCCACTCCTTGGAGACAGGTAAGTGATGCTGAAAGATGTCTCAGTTCACTCCATGTGGGGACCCCATTAGAGGCAGAATCTGCCTTGAAGTCTTTAGAAAGGCTCAAAAGCACTAAAGGTTTTTGAAAATAGAATTGGCCAAGGGAGAAACAGTTTCTGCTGTTTGCTGCAGTGTGCAGTCTCAGGGAACCACTTCTCTGAGGCCACCATGTTGTGAATGGGAATGTCGTTCTTGTCCCTCAGGCTCTTTGCAAACTGGAAAACCCATGGGCTGACGGGGAAGCAGCGAGATCAACCTCAGGTTATCAATTCAGTATAAAAGACGGCTTGGTCTTGCCTGTTCATAAGTGCATGGGCCAGGCCTTGAACCCAGGTGTGATGACTCTAAGTTTTGTTTACATACCGTGGCATGCCGCTGCTTTTCCAGATGAAGACAACTCAGGCCAGACGGCTGTCATCAGGCAGGGAGTAGGAAGAATGAGCCTGAGCTACACAGATGCACAAGTGCTTCAGTCTCCAAAACTGCTGGGGCCCAACGGTGGTTCTGCAGCTTTCCAGCTGTGTTCACACAGCTGAACAAAATGATAATTGTGGAATAGACCTTCATTATTAGCTTGGTGTCATTAAACGCATGGATTCTATTCTATCCTATTCAGAATCAATGCTTTAGATTTTGAATTTCCTAAACTACTCTGTGCTTTTACCAAGTAACTAACATGCAGCTATGTAAAGATAAAAAGAATTACAGGATAATATTTGGTAAAATATGATTAAGGTGTGTTGGATTCAGACTAATAACTGTTGTTGCTAGACTAAATCTGAGACAATCTAAATAGAGAAATGTTGACAAATGTAACTTTAGTTCTATCTCATAATTAGTAATTTGTGGTCATAATTCATCCAATATATGCCAGTGTATTTGCAGCAACACCAGGGGAAAGGAAGTTTACAACAAGTGATTGTGCGTCCATTTACCTCTGAACATCAAGGCCACTCAGGATTAGTGACAAGTGAGTCTTTCCTGTGTGTAATCAATAGAATATGCCAAAGGTTATGAAATCAGGGCTTTCCAGTTTTGCTGCAGCAGATTCCCAGTTTCTTTTCCTAAAGGACAAGTCAGTTCTGGACTAGGCAGCAGTGTGGGATCATTGAGCCTGGGAGTCCTTTGCATTGGAGGAGACACATTGTTTCTGTTGCAGTGTTGACAGCATCATCATGATATCACAACCCAATGCAAGGGAGACCATTGCTGTGCTCACAACAAGGGGCATCAACCTACCCGAGTCAGAGAAACCCCTGCACCGTGGACAGGACATCCTGAAGAAGTATCTAAAGGCAGAAATCAAAGTTACTGGGGTAAATGCAATTCAGACCCTGTTGGAATGGATGGAGGACAAAGTTTGTCTTGGGATAGGATATCCCTTAAAATGTGGGGGTTTCTGGGTTAGCCAAAGAGGCTGACTGTCAGTCCCAAGAGCCATTGAGACTCTTCCCAGAACTTTTTCACAGGGTAAATGAAAAAATTTTTTTGTATTCTAAACATGAGTTATGGAGTATTCTTTTTTTTTCGCTTTGGTATATTTGCATGAACAGTGCCTCTTCATACTTTCACAAAAGTAATGGTGGAAAATAATTACATATTTTATGTATTTAATGAGCTGATAATCTGTATAGATTCTTCAAATAAAATTTCCCCTTCCTGCAAATTAGAGGAAAAATAAACTTCATTCTCCCTCTTTCCTCCTTTTCTTTAATGAACAATGTGATATTTAGCTTTTGTTTGTACTTCTTCTCCCATCCAAGAAGGTTTTAAATGTTTTTTTGTGTGTATATAAAGGGAACAAATGTCTTATACTCCATGTATATATAGCTTTATGAACATTATAATTGCCACCCTACCTGCTCTTCTTCCCTCCCTCCCTCCCTCCCTCAAACCCATCCTACACAATGTGGAAAATACAAATCTCTGGCTTCTAGAGTTTTTTCTGCACTAACATAATCTAAAATGAAACATTTCCTTTGATTTTTTTACTTCTTTTTATTATTATCATTTTATGATACAGATCCATAGGCCCTGGGACTTCCCTTCTATCCTCCCCAACTCCCTGCCTCCTCACTGAGTTCCCCTGTTTCATTACTATAGTATAGTTCTTCATAAACAGTGATATGTCCATGGACAACAGCAGAGAGTCCAGCATCCTATTCTCAAGAGCTAGTAAACAATTTCATTGGGAGTCCACCTTTGTCTGGAAGTAGAGATGCATACTGCATTGTACCCTCACATCTGGACATGTCAGTCTCCACTACACAGCCACTATAAATCCCCCTAAGTTAAAAGTTCCAATACAAAATCAACAACAGAAAGTAAAAGAGAAATATACAATGCATCAAGTTAAATAACATGCTACTAGATATGATAGTCTCCATCACACAGTTACTATACATCCCCCTAAATAAAAAGCCACAAGACAAAATCAACAACAGGAAGAAAAAAAAAAAGAAATTAACACCATGTTGGTGAAATTTGTCTCCTGTAGGCAACAAAGAGATGGGTTTTGTTTTTTAATCCAGTCTACTAATCTATGATATTTCATCAATGAACTTAAGCTATTTACATTCAGGGTTAATAGGTATGGATGGTAATTTGGTCCTATCATTATAGAATGGGTTGTTCATTGATTTAGTCTTCTGTTGTCATTTTACTGGGAAGAAGTTTTTCTCTGTCAAGAGAGCATCTCTAAGTATCCTTTGTAGGGCAGGTTTGGAAGAAGCATATTCTTTACTGTGGAAGAATTTTATTTCATCTTCAAAGAAAAAGTAAAGCTTTCCTGGGTACTTTATACTGGGTCAACAGTTTTTTGCTTTTAGAATCTGAAATGTGTCGCTCCATTCTCTTCTTGCTTGTAGAGATTCCTGTGAGAGATCTGCTGTGAGTCTAATTGGCATTCCTTTATATGTCAGTTTAATTTTTTTCATGTGCACATTTAAGGATCTTTTCCTTATGTTCGGTTGAAAAGAGCTTGATGATCATGTGTCGTGGTGAAGTTCACTTTTAATCAAACCTGTTGAAAGTTCTGTGCCACTCCTGGATGTTGTTTCCGATTCTTTCTCTAGATTAGGGAAATTTTTCCTATTCATTAAATACATTTGTAAATCCAGTTGCCCTTTCTGTACCTTCTGGGACTTCCGTAACTCTTCTATTTGGCCTTTTAATAGAATCTTTCAATTCTCAAATACTTTTTTTTTAGCCTGATCCAGCTCTGCTTCCGGCTTTTTGTTTGTTTCCCCCTTGATGACAGGAAATATCTTCCAATTCTGCGATTCTTTCTTCTGCCTCCTTTATTCTATCTTGGAAACTCTCCACTATATGTTTAATTTGATCCACTGTATTTTTCATTTCTGATATACCAGCTTTCATTTGATTCATTTCCTGTGTGACATAGCCCTTAAATTCCTTGCCTGCTTTATGTGCTTCTTTTTGATAAGAAGTTTTACAACAAGTGTTTTGAATTCTGTGTCTCCCATTTTCTCTATGTCTTCCTCAGCTAACTGAGGTTGGCAAGTGGTTTTGCTCCTTTGCAGGGGAGTCTTTAGTAATATTCATTGTGCCTCTGTCTCTTCTATTGCTCTTGATCTTTGTACTTTTGGATAGCAGAGTCTTCTCCTTAAGGCAGGCTTCTAAGCTGTGTGACCCACAGGTCTACAGTTCATTTTTACTTATTGCAGTTGGTACATAGCTCTTTGTTTGCAGTCACTTCTGATACTTCCTCCAGGGAGTTCCAGGTCTGGGTTCTTATGTCAGATTTCCACCATAGTCTCTGTAGCCCCAACTCCTGGCTCACCACTCTCCACCTCTTATGATACCATGCTGAGGCTGCACTGTTGTATGTACAACCTTTCTCCCACTTACGGTTGGAGTAGGTCCTAGGATTAGAGAGAAATAAGGTGTCCTATACAGCTAAGTTTTTGGGTGGTAATCATGCAGGAAACTGTTGGTTGTTAGGTCTGAGGGCCACATGGACCAATTTTGACTCATGTGATACCATAGTCAGTATTATTTTCCTGCGGGACCAGTGCAATGCACTGGTCTCAGTAAGTTCTCATCAACCTCAGTGCATGCGCAGCTCACTGTTGTCCCTGCGGTCTCAACTTCTTTGACACTGTAGGAAATTGCATCTGATGTGCCGCTACTAGAGTTCTTGATTTTCCGTCAGGTCTGAGGGATACCTGGACCTATCTTGGGTGGGACCTGTCATTTGGATACCACGTTGTTGCAATTCACTGAACCCAGAAATGAGATCACTCCCAATTCAGTGCACATGCAATACTGTCCATAGCCCTTCTCTCCTTAAATAAAATGACACCTGATATAGCCTTAGTTGGCAGATTGGGCTGTGAAATCCACCCTGTTCCTGCACTGCTTATCTGGGATCTGCTGGTCAAATCAAACAGACCCGCAGGATGAGCAGTTTTTTGTCTGGGTTCACCTCCTTAGCTTCACTGGGTTCACTCCTTAGCTTCCACACCATTGTTTTTGGTGCTTTCCTGTGTCTGTCAGTCTCCTGTTCTGTCCTCTCTTATTTCCTGAAATTTGCTCTCTCTGCTTCTCTCTGGCTAATATTTATTTGTCTGTTTAAATGTGTCCTTACCCTATTCCACCATCTTAATTCTCTGAAGCACTTTTATGACTTTTAACTCTCTTTGACAATCTGGTGGGATGAATGACCTATTCTGAAATACATAAATACATGGGTTCCTATGGCACTCAGGTGACACAGACTTAGAAAACTTCTTATCAAAAGTCAATAGAATCCCTATGGTGGACATTAATGAGGAATATCTCAGAACTACAGAGATCAAATTGCTAACCTTAGGACCAGGTTCCTTGTGATGGTGTTCAACAGGCTCTAGTGTTTTGGGAAGTGTTCCATACTGCTGGTACTCAAGAGAGTATGACAGCTTTCAGATGTCCCCTGTCCCCACAAGAGTTACCAGTCAATGACTCAGCTGGAAGGCTTTTCCATCACTGACCATGAGCTGGATGCATGGCATTGTGTACATAGATATTGAGGGGGACAAGCACCTGAAGACTCTTGGATCACTTGCCCTATGTTTTTCTTGAGTGCTGTCAGAGAGACACTCCCATCACATTGGCTTTTGGTAGAAAAACCACATCCTCTCTAGATCATCTTTTCACTCAGCACTTTAATAATGCATGTGTCCTCATTGAGGTCTTGCCCAAGACAATAATGCATGATCATTGTGGGAGAAGTGAGAAGATCCAGTCTTAATACACATTGGTTTTAATCTCGGTTCTCCTTTCCTTTTTCAACAGACTCTCCAGATCCTGGGCGGTGTGATGGTGTTGAGCTTGGGCATCATTTTAGCCTCAGCACCCATCTCTCAACATTTTTCCTCAGTGTTTTCTATCCTGCTGAAATCTGGCTACCCATTCATAGGAGCCTTGTTTGTGAGTAGAGCTCATGAGCAGGGCAGAGTGGGGTGGGAAGGGTTGCAAGGTGCAAGTGGATTACACTCTACACTTGCCACCTTCCTGCCAATTTTAGTAGTTCTCCTGTGTGTATAATCCAGGAAGCACTGAGTATAAGGCAACAGTGGCCTGACTGTAGATTCATTTCTTGCCCAGCTCAGAATCATTTTTTTATGGTGATGAATTTTCATGTGAAAATGACAAAGCTATAGTGACAGTCTTACCAGGTCTTAGGAAAGGTAGACATTTTCAATGTGACTTGCCATTGATGAACTTAATTTTGACATGTGACTGAGGTAGTGTTTCTAATACTGCATCAAATTTGAAGTGACCTTTTTCTTTCCTCATTCACAACAGCAGGTCACTAACTGGAGCCAACATTTGGAGGGACTTATAGTGCTTTAAAAAAATTCAGCATTTATTTATACACACTAATTACTTGACCCTGGGATCATTGCAGCACCATTTTTATTTTAGCCTGTTCCTTCTCAGCTGCCCTAAATCTATTATATCATAAATACTTCAGAAAAGTAAAAGGAATGTCGCTTTCTGACAAGTCTTAAAGGCTTCTTGCCATTCAACCTCATCCTTCGTCTCTTCGCACATGTCTATTAAACTCTCCTGTTTTTCTCTTAAGGAAGAACTTATACCATTTTTTTTTCCAATATCTTCCAGAAAATTAAAAAGAAGGAACATTTTCACACATTTTAGGAAGCCAGTATTACCCGGATACCAAATCAGAGAAAGACACAAAAAGAGAGAAAAATCTATAGATCACTATCTCTGAGAATACAAATGAAAAACTCTTCAACAGAAGCAAGAATAGATAGCATACTGAATTCAACAACGATGTAAAAAGATCATACAGCATGACCAAGAGATATATATCCCAAGAATGTACGGCATGATTCAGCAGATATAAATGAATAAATACAATACACCATATCAAGTAAATAAAGGACAAAACCATATGATAATACACCATTCTCTTCCACTTCCATATCATTGCATTCAAGTCGTTCTCTAGAGAACAGTGACTCCGAAGTTTCTTTTTCCCTCAGAAACAACAACAATTTGCAGGGTTTTCAGGTCTTCATTTCGTATTCTGGGATTGATTCTTAGTCCCTTAGTCCCATTGCTCTTTGGGCAAAGAGGTATAACTAATATACTCACGCAAGTGCTATATCATTATTGATTTGTTCTCCAGGGCTTTTCTTCTGGGGCTCCTCGCAGTGTGAGGTAGTCTGTGACAGTAACATGATGGCACATGTAAACTGATCTGGCCATTTCTGTCTCTTCTGAATAATAGTTCATCCTCTCTGGTGTTCTATCCATTCTCACGGAGCAAAGGTCGACAAAGCATTGGGTGAGTATGAGAACCATAACTTACAGCTGATGGATAACCACGAGGCTTAGAGAGAACATTTTCTGGGTGAGAATATCCACTTTGAAAACTGGAAACTACATTCCAAAGCAAGTAGCATTGAGAGCTGTATCTGGATTCTGCAAATCCATGTCCCCTAAATCAACATCTGTACAAGTAGAGTTTTGCATTATACTCTACAACAGTGCTCAAGTGTCTCCCACTAAAGTTAGGCTTTTGTGTGATCTTGTGATGCTGGCTTCCTGGTAACTATGTTCAGATTTAGATCCTCGGTGGGGAAGAAGCTGACAGTGGCAGAGGTGTATTTATTGTGAATTTACTGTATAAGCCTACATGTCAAAATTTTTGAGGGAACACAGCCAGAAATGCTGTGTATCTCCAATTCTTTTATCCATAGCACCTAAAGTTAATACTTTGATGGACTTGAGTTCTGAATTGTCATTAATCCTTCACGTCAGGTAAGAGACCAAATGCATCTACTTTGAACTTAGGAGAAACTCAAATTGGAAGAGACAGAAAGAGCGATTCCAAACTGTAGAGAGACGCTTTTCTAATCTGCAAAGATTTGCTGAATCTCCACTCAAACCCCACAGCTCTAAGAGTTGGTACAGGGCATCATGCGATAGAATCCCATACAACACAGTAGTATGAAAACCCACTGTGAAAGTTCAGACACAAATCACCCTGAGCAAGAAAAAAAGGAAAAAGAATACGGATGATGTTATGTCAGCATCTCTCTTTCTCTTATTAGAATTTAGAGATTGATATTTGAAATTCCCAACCAGACCCTGGAATACTAGATTATTGTTACCTAATAGATCTTTCTGTGATTATTTAAATACACTTCATGTTATCCAATATTGTAGGTGGCAATTGATAACCTGAAATATCACAAGTACAATCAAGACAGGGAATTTTAAATCTCATTTAATTTTACATTGTATGTAAATCAGCCATGTGGCTCATGGTCACCATATTGCAAAGTACGATACAAAATAATGTTTCCAGGTGAGAAACATGTGGGTTTTGTCACACAGAAAATAACCCCCACAATGAGCATGTAGCAGGCTCGGGGAGACAAGATGTGGCTTCAGGGTAGGTTTACATTCACCAGTGACATCTAGCTAGTTGTGAATTCTACTGTCCTTACGTATCACACCAGCCCTTTGAGACTGTGTAGAGTGTCGCCTCCAGTAAAGGTGAGTTGCTTCAAGACATGTTGTTGAGTTATTGTGCCTTTGACCATCACAAATTCCAGGAGCACGCCCTTTAATCAGCATTTGTAGAAATGTGATTCAATGCCGTAACTGCTAAGTTCTAAAAAGAAGCACGGTCTTATATGGTATTGAGTAGTGGTCTAACGCACAGCCTTGTGCAGGTCCTGGAGCATGCCTGCCTGTAGCAATAGTTCTCAGATCAGTCTTCGCTTAATCTGTCTGTTCTGTGAGTTGGAGTGGAGTGGAAGCCGCTTGTGAGATCATTTTATTAATTCTCCTGAAGTGATAAATGTGCAAAGGAGACCAAGGTTGGGGAATGAGACTGAGGAAATGGACTTTCAAGGAAGTGGAGAGAGTTAAAGTTAGTGCTGTGGTCAGAAATCACATCCTAAGCATTCCATTAGACCATTTTCTTCCTCCTCACACTACTGTCCCCACCTCAAAGCACTCCAGGTCTGTTCCCAGAATTCCTCTGTAGCCATGTATATATGGCCTTGAATATGCCATCCGTGTAATGGAGAGCCATGTAACCACACTGACATTCAATTGGTGTAATGTTTTTCTCTTTCATAATTTTCTTATAAATATTTACTTATTTTTAATAGAAAGGCAGATTTACAGAGAGAAGGAGAGAAATAGATAAAGATCTTTATTTACCGTTTCACTCCCTAAATGATTACAACAGCCAGAGCTAAGCCAATCTGAAGCCAGGAGACAGGACCTTCTTTCAGGTCTCCCACATGAATCCAGGGTTCCAAGGACCTGGGCCTTTCTCTGCTGCATTCCTAGATAGTATGCAGGGAGCTGAATGTGAAGTGGAGCAACCAGGACACAAATCAACACCCACATGGGATCCTGGAGCTTGTAAGGGGAGAATTAGTCAATTGAGCCATCATGCCAGGTCCTCTCATATAATGTTTGTTAAAATTTTTCCACTATAACTTCAATTGTTGATATTTTATACAATAATGTATCTGCTATTTTTTCCTTGAAAGACTAATAATATCACAGAGTGAGGAATTAATAAAAATTAATAAAATTAAAAATAATTATTAATTAATTTAAAAATTAATTAATAAAATTATCATCTGAAGCAGAGTATATTGTCATCTTCATAGTATGATTCAGTGAAGCATTTTTATTTTTAAATAACAAATGATATGACAACCACAAAGAACTTTTATACTAACTCTATCAACATCCACAAATAAAAGAAAAAACGTGATATTTGTCTGTTTGAATCTGGCTTATTTCTCCTCAGTTCCATCCACCTTTTTGCAAACATCAGTGCTTTATTTATTTTTTATGGCCTAGTAATACACCATCATGTATGCCTAAAGCACATTTGCTTTATCCAGTCATCCATTGGTGAATATCTAGGTTGAGAGGTGTGGTGTTGAAAGAGATCATGTGCAAAGCAGAGCAATCCACCCCCTGCTTCCTCCGTGTGATCGATGCTCCCAAGATGGGTTCCTGTGTGGGCTGCAGGGGCTGCTGTTTGCTCAGCCTTGGTTCACACTCTCCTGCAAACCCGTAAGACATAACCTCATGAGTCCCTGCTGTCTAAACAGGGTAAAGGAGCTAGAAGAATAACTCACTCTTTTATACCACTTCAGTACTGTCTGGTGGCATCTTATTTATGCGTTCATTTGCTCAGCCAAGTTTTGCTTTTTAAGATGAGAGATTTTTCTAGGCACCGTGAAAGGATACAGAAGTAAATGATGAATCCTAGCATGCCTATGGGAAGCTAATATGCAAAGTAAATTCTTGAGGTGTACTAACCAAGTGGCACCCAAGTCATTGGCCAATCCAAGTGGCTTGTGAGGAGTGGTTTTGATGGAGTGTTTCCTGTCCAGGTGCACAGCAGCCTGGCCACGAGCATTTTGAGTGTTCTGTTTGCTCTGATGGGTTCCATCATCCTCTCTGTCAACCTGTTGGCTTTGAGTCCTGCCTCCCAGCAGTGTCAGCTGAGCTTGTCAGCTTCACCATTCGCATATCACGGGGATTGTATCGTAGCCAAAGCCACTTTGACTGTAAGTATTTGTATTTTTTAAGTTTTCATTAATTTCTAGCCGTTCATAGATACAATTCTAAGAATATAAATACAATGATATTTCTTTCTTACTTTCCTTCCCCCTTTCTACCCTCCCTTCCTCTTCCTTGAAAAATCTATTCATTATAGTTTGGGTAGGGGAAGGCCAGGGTTACACAAATGAAAGGATATTTCAATAGTGAGATTAAGGGGTTTTGGTATGGTATTCTATACTAATATGAGTAGTGTGTAAGTGATTCATACATGTCAAATAGATTTGATGACTACAAACAAAGCTTACCATTGCTAAGTTTCCTTAATGTCATTTAGAAGCGTTAAATTTGAGCTTTTCAAACTGGGAATCTTTGTTTATGGACTGATGACTTAAGCACCGCATAATCAGGAGATGCCAACAATTAACCTTGGTCTGTGTGCAGTGGGAGCTTAAGTTAGCCTAGCTGCCTCCAGGACCAATCATGAGAAACAAAAAGTAGTGAGGTGCGGAGTTTGAAGGTAAGGACTTTCCTTCTTCCGCCCGATCATGAATAAGAGCAATACTAATCAGGTGAGAAGCTAACGTTGTTTTTTTGTTATAACTTAAAGAAGTGGGGCTTACTAACTTGGGAGATTGGACATAGTAGGAGATGGAGAATGTTAACATAAGATGGCTTTAAGGGAAATCTTCTTGGAAGATGGGAAAAAGATGTTTGGCTAACAGAAACAGTATGGATGAGAGCTCTCAGGAGATGCATACCGTCAACAATGCACTGGAAGAAAAATGGGTGACAGAACAATATAAGGGCAGCAGAAAACTTATTTTCCATAACTGAAAAAGAGATATAAGTCAAAAATTCATCTGTATGGTGGCGACACAGAAAACTCTGGTCAAACTTGGAGTGGCCACCAGGCACTTCTCCCTCAAGTAATGACATTATGATAAGAGGTGCATGCAAATGAAGGTGAGAGAAATTCATTCTATTTCCTGTGCAGCCAAGTCTGACCTTCAGAAAGAAGTAGGGGTTTTGCTTTGTGCATAATGCATCAATTCATGCTGAGATAATTTTTCCACTATAAAGGAAAAAAAATTATGTTGAGTTTATGGCTGAGATGTTTTTTGGGTGATGTAGAAAAGTTGCATCTCTTTTTTTATGTGTAAACAAATGAGAGATTTATGCACATCTCCCCCCTTTTCTGTGAGATGGTCAGTTCTGTATGAGGGTTTTTCATGTAATTGTAAAATTTGCCCTCTTGATCACATGCCCTTGGTTTGTGTGCAACTCTAGCAGTTTGCTACCTGCATGGTTTTTTCAAACTTTTACTACCACCAGAAGCAGACAAGAAAATTATTCATAGGGTTCCTACAGAAAAATGTGTCACTACAAATTTTTGCAAAGTATTTGCTCATTCCCAATCTTATTGGCCTCGCGAATAAATTAGAAGGAAATATTATTATGCACATTTGATAAATGAGAAAACAGAACTAGAGAGATCTAAGCCCATGTGGGTACTAAGTGATAAAACTGGGGCTAGACTGGGATATCAAGGAAACAAGTGGTTTTTAAAAAGTAAAATAAGTCAATTTTTAGGTTTGGGAGTAGAAATTTCATCTTTCTGGGAATGTTCTGACTTCATTTTCTGGTAGTTGCAATGGTCTTCACTTCTACACCCAACTTCCACCCAGGCATGAAGGCCTTAGGTCAACTCGAGACGCAATGCTTCTCTTTGCTGTGTTTCAGGGAGCCTTGTCAATGATGCTCATTTACACTATGCTGGAGTTGTGCCTTGCAGTCCCTACTGCTGTGCTATGGTGGAAACAGGCTCATTCCAACTTTGCTGGGGTGAGTGCGCTGACTGGCCTCGTTGAACTTTGGTGTAATTCTCAGATGCATCGGTGCATAACACAAAGGGTGGGCTAAAGAATGGTCAGTCAGTCAGCCATTAAATAAAGCTGAGAGGTGGTTGAACCTGAAACAGCCACTGGTTAGAATAAGCCATTTTGCAAATAAAGAAAAGGCAGTGTGGGGGAGATAAATGCCTTTCCACGAATTATGCTATGGGTTTGGGCTTATGCTCAGGATGCTATGACCACCTTATGCTGTGCGTTTTCCCTTCCTCTGAATGCAAAATTTCAACTCCCTGCAAAGACAGTAAAGAAATATTATTGAATCAAATTCCACAGAATGTTGCTATAGCACTGTTCATCACTATACACTCATTTAAGTGAACTGAAAGTCTTTTGTTTGGCCAATGCATCACTTACAGAGAGTGGAGTGTGTCCGAAGCTGATGAACAGCAATAGTTTTTCCAGCTTAAGATGTGCTACATTCATCTTGGAGTAGTGAAAAGTCTATCCGTAAGAGGAAATGACTTCTAGATACACATGGAGCTGAACGTGAATGAAAATCTATGTTCTCTTCTAGGGTGTGCTTTTCTTGCCGGGGAATTACAAGAATAAACCAAGCATGTCCTCAAAAGTGATTGGTGATTGTGACTATGAAGAACTATTGACTTCTTAGGAAAATAAACAAGAAGGACATTCATCAGAAAGTTGGTTTTCATGAAGTACATAAAATCTAAGCATTTCAGGAGAGAAAAATTTGAGTTCTCTGAAATATTGGCTTCTTATAGAATAAATATCAAAATATTGCTGAGTACTAATGGTTCTTGATCTTTCTGATACTGACTTTAGCAAAAAGCCCAGTGTTATAAATATTGATGCACTAGAGCAATCAGAGAGTCACATTCATTTCCCAGAAAACCAAGCAGTGTGGAAATTCAGTGGATCACAGCAAAGCAAAGGAAAACCTTTTTCTTGTACCCTTTAATTACTCAAACTTCAAAGGAGCCATTGATTTGTTGTGTCACCCCAACCCTTCCACAGTAGGTGATAATGCCTCATCATATGTGTTAGACTTATTAATGCATGGAGCCAAGACCCTTCCAATAAAGTCCCAGGTGCTATAGAAGTAGTTGTTTTCAAAGCAAAATTTTAATGTAATTGTATATATTGGGGTAGTGTCTATTTTGTTAGTTTCCTTTAAACAAACACGAGCGAGTCAAATGATATAAAATTAAATTCCTCTTTACTATCCAATAAATATCCGAACAAAATAAACACATAAAGCTAACCAGGACTACTTAGCTATTATTAGGAGACAATAGGTTTATTCTTTTCTTCTGATTTCAAAATATAACAAACAACTGTCCCATTGTAAATGCCAAACCTCAGCACACACATATCCTCAGTTTTGTAGATACTCCATTTCTTTGTAATATCATGTCGTATTTTTTCCTGTTCCGATCTACATGGTGACATCCACAGTATAAGGCCTTCTGATTCTCGGTTTTCCTGTTGCTTTCTTTATAACTGAGACTGTAATGTCAGTTTCTTGGATGTTATTCTTGGGTTATACCTGGCTGGGTTAAGCTGCAACACCCACCAGTAAGCTAAGACTATGTGTGTGGGCTATGCGAGACTGGTTTGGAACACCCATCAGCACATCGAAGACCTGGGGCTGGAAATGGACTTGGTAGGAGAACTCTAGGGACTCTGCACTGATGGGCTGAAGTTCCCACTGATAAATGCAGGAGCCATGGATAATGCAGGCTGTAGTTAGTCCAGGTTGACAAGGCTACAGCTCATGTTGACATGCATATGAGCTGATTCTGGGGTGGGCCCTGGGTTAGGTTCAAGCACCTGCTGGTAGTCATGAGAGCCAGAATGGTTGTGTGGCAGGATAGGGTGGGTAGCAGCACCTGCCGGGTCACGTGAGAACCAGGTCTTATGTTGGTTGGGCCAGGCTAGATAGACTGTCTCAACCATTAATGAGAGACAGACCTCCCCTGTGGATGCAGGAGGGGAAAAAAGAAAAAAAATGCAAACATTTGTCCCATCTAACTCCCTCTGTACCTAAACTCCCATACCCTGGCCTGAGGCCAATATAGACATGCATCACTCTCAACTATGTAAGCGATATTAGAGAGAACGTGAACAAAAATTTTTTAAAAATTAATTTGAATCAAGTAAGTTTGAAGGGGATGACAATAAAATTAGGAGCATATTTTATGCTGCATAAATCTATTTGAGTAATACTCTCTTCAGCCTGAAACATATAGAGAATCAATGTGTGTATATGTATATATGAGAGAGATGCAGACACACAGAAAAAAAGTAAACTGACTCTTTCATTTGAAAGTTCCATCTCACCTGTGTCAATCGCACAGTGACATCTCCCCACCACAAGAAATAGCATCCAGAACACACAATTGTATCCATCCACTGTGCATCCCACCCTGGTAACTAGATCTTCAAATTCGGTTATGGAAGAGAGATCATCTCTACCACCTCCACAGAACTAAAAGAATTAAAAGAGAATACAATGAACAACTAATGCCAAAAGTTCACACTAGTTGACATAACGGAAGAAGTCATGGGAAGGCATAAGTTACCTGAAATGACTCAAGAAGAAATTGGAGAAAGGACAGAAATATGAATATAGCCATAACAATAACAATAAAAAGAAAACATTCAACAGCGACAACAAAAAACATCATTCAAACACCTTTCCAGCAAGTAAGATCCGTGCCCAGATAATGTCGCTAGTGCATTATGTTAAACTTTTAAGAAATAAAAACACAAATTTCTCACAAACCTACTTAAAAAGACAGAAGAGGAGGAACACCCAACTCAATCTGTGACGATAACATCCTGGAACCACTGTCAAAGACATTTGAACAAAATAAAGCTACCAAAAATATGTCTTGCAAATGGCATTTAGACCTTTTTGTGGCCTCAATGGTAAAATGTCTGTCTCTGTCACTACAGTATAAATCGTAATCAACGTGAGAAGGATGCTGATCAGAATCTTCCATTTTCACAGACGTTCCATGGGGCCAGCCAAGGCAGACTGGCTTCTGTGGGCTCTGACTGTGCGTTTCACAAAAGTGGGGCCTCAGGGCCCTGCTCTCCCTTGGGCAGGCACCACTCACACCCCCGCCCCTTAATTCATTCTGATAAATTCCCCAGGCCCATTTTAGCACGAATGGCAAATGAATCTATAGAGTGCTCCAGCTTCCTTTGTTTGGGGCTGGACCCACCTGCCAGAAAGGAGTTTACATTTATTTTCATTGAATGGGATCACTAAAGAAGAATTTTTAGTTCATCCACAGCATTTTTATGTAAGTTTCCTTCTCTATCATTTTGCTATATCTTGAGATTTTCTTATCACTTCCCTTTTTTTTTTAGATTTATTTTTATTGAAAAGTCAGATATACAGAGAGGAGGAGCAGAGACAGAGAGAAAGATCTTCCGTCCGATGATTCACTCCCCGAGTGATTACAACGGCCGGTGCTGTGCCATCCGAAGCCGAGAACCAGAACCCTCTTCCGGATATTCCACATGGATGCAGGGTCCCAAAGCATTGGACCGCCTTCGACTGCTTTCCCAGGCCACAAGCAGGGAGCTGAATGGGAACTGGAGCTGCCGGGATTCGAACTGATGCCCATATGTGATCCTGGCGCGTACAAGGCGAGGACTTTAACCACCACGCTATCGCACCAGGCCCAAGATTTTCTTATCACTTTCATACAAAACTGGAAAGTTTTATTGTAGATTGATTCTAAGTCTTTGCTACTTCAAATTAGAGTCTCAGTTGTCACTCCAGCATTACAATTTGCTTCCATTCTCTAATTTTTTTTTTTTAGAGATTTTATCTTACTTACTGGAAAAGCAGAGATTCTCTTTCTCTCTCTATCTCTCTCTCTCTGTCTCACACACACACACACAGAAAGAGAGAAACACAGAGAGAGACACACACACACGCACACACAGATTTTCCACCCAAAAGGCCCTAACATCCAGGGTTGGACTAGGCTGAAGCCTGGAGCCTGAACTCTATCCTGGTTTCTAATGTGGGTGGCAGAAGTCCAAACACTTGAGCCCTCTTCTGTTGCTTTGCCGGTTGCATAAGCAGGGAGCTCTACCGAAAGTGGAGCTGTGAGGACAAAAACTAGCACCGGATAAGGTATATCAGTATCAGAGATGCCTCAAAGCCAACCCCTGTCCCCATTATCTTAACCATGCATGGTTTTGAGAGTAAATAAATTGTCAACAAGCATTATAGCTAAAGACAACTCTGGTCTTTCAATGAAATGATATTTCTGATGGTAAGTGCCCTGAAAATGGCAGAGTTCAGTTGCAAGGGGGACTAAAAGGACCCTATGTGACAGTGTTTACAAATTTATGGTTTGTTGCAGTGACAGAGTACACCACAGCAACAACTTCAGGGTTAAGATGAACATGCCAACAAGATGTCCCAAAGTAGAGATCAGAAAGGTCAGGCTTGAGTTTCAGCTTCTCCTGGGTCTCTAACGTGGATGCAGGAGCCCAAGACCTTGAGCTATCCTCTATTGCTTCCCCAAGCCATCTTCAGGGAACTCATTCAGGAGTGGAACAGCTGGCATTAAAACTGGTATACACACAGGATGCCAATGCCACAGGCAGAGTAACAGCTTGCTATACCACCATGCAAACTCTGAAGTAACTTTTAAATTAGTGTTCCTTCAAAGATTGACACAATCTCCCAATACCATATTCATTCCTGAGTTTTGGAATCTTATCCTAATGCTATTCTGCATCCCTACACATCTGGGGTGCATCCCTATACATTGAATCTTTATTTGACACAGTTTTCACATATTCAAAGTGATAATAGTAACATAAAACTCAGTGGCAGATTAAATATTTAACATATATCAGTTAGGATATACTTGTATTGTAGCAGCACGTAGCCAAAGACCCAAACTAACATAGCTTAACATGTTTAACATCAAAAACAGCATCATTTCACAATAGCTCTGTGACTAGTCATTTCCAGTGTTAACTCAGTGATGTAAGGAGTTTATGAGGATCACGGGTAGGCCATCAGACCTACTGACACATCTTGTCTTTCATGCATCTTATACAAAGAGGCTTGCAGAAAAAATCATGCAAAGTGTAATTATAAGGCATATTTCCTATATGTTTTTCAAGAAACGTCATAGGCATAGGTCATATAAATTATGGACAAAGCTAATGAACTTGTCACTATTGACTTGGACTAATCAAGAGTCACTTCTGTGGCTAAGAATTGTTCACCCTACTCTGAACTCAATACAAAACTACACACAATGAAGTTTTTAGCAAGTAAGAAAAGGAGACATGGTTGATATGGGGACAAGCTATAGTGGCCAGTTCAGCACATTCCAGCAGTGTCAGCCTATAAAATGGAATTGTTATTTGGCAAGTTTTGTTTCATAAATTTAATAAACATAACTAAAATTGTAATGAATTTAAGGAAGCTAAAATACGTTTGTCCAAAACAAAACACAAGGGATTTTTTTTTTCTGAAAAGTGAGTGTATAACTTGGATATGTAATATCATGTTGCATTTACTGAGAAGACGGTGATAAAATATATAAGCTAGATTTATCCTAGAAACAGGGAACAGATTCAGCTGGGTGGGGTTTCCATTCAAAATGCTGGGACTGAAATAATTTACTATTTTATTATAGAGCTGTTTTTTGCGTATCCCGTTTACAACAAAGTATAATATTTGATGAACTGTAAATGCAGACGTGTTTCTAGAATGTTGCAGAATATATGTCTGATAATTAT